CCGCCCGCCCTCCTCTGCTCCCCTCCCTGCGCCCCTGTCCCGAGCGCTGACACCGCGTGTTCAGTGCCGATTCCGAACTGCCGCAAAGAGCTGGGGCCTCCTGAAGTCGCTGCCTGCGCCAGAATGTTTTCCTCATTTCGGCATCTCGTGCAGCCGGGAGGAATAAAGAGTAAAAAGCTCCTGTATTTCTAAACGCTGTGTAATAGTTTAGAATAGTAAGTGGTGTAAAAGCAGGCTCTAAGCTAAACACATAGCCCAGGGCAGGAGCCATTTAACCTCTGTCTTGGGCTTTGCCCACATGAAACATCCCCTTTAGAGCCCTTTAAGATCCAAAGTTGGTTCAGGCTGGTAGGTGGCAGCAAGTATGTTGTACCTTGGCACAATCCGACACCTTTCCTGCAACTTTCAAAACCAGAGAAAATCACTTCCAACTTTTATTCAACAATGTAACAGTGCTTTGGCAGAACTTCTTTCCCCCCATGTTATTTTTACTGACCATACTAGTAGAGTATGTAGAGATACTCTAGAGCACAGACTGTATAATCTGTGTAGTTTCTGTAGATGTGAATAGCTCCCTTAGGGTCACTAGGCAGATCTGGTGGTCATTCCAGACTAATGCCAAGCACATACAGGGAAGGAGTTTGGTTTGCCCCCAGGAATGCGTGCTGCAAGGCTGTGCGTCAAAAATCACATCTGGGCCACTGAGTCTCGCATCTCCTCAGGATCTTCTATTTATGTGATTCAGTAATCAATAGATACAGCTCTGGTTGATACCAACAAGTTTCAAAGAAAAGTAATAATAATAAAAGAAAATCATAGTAAGCTGTTAAAATTATTTATCTTCTTTAAGCCTAAGTAAACCCAAGCTGCTAATTTCAAAAGCATGCTTTGAAAGCTGAACCAGCATAGTTTGATCTACTTAGCAAAACAGTAACAGTTTTAAGATGAAAAAAAAAAAGTAAATGAATGCGGAAGTCTCTTAAGTTACACATTTTGCAAGTATCTGGGATTCACTTGCCTTAGAACAGACACATGGTATTTCTGTGCATTTGTCAGCTGTTTCCCACACGCATATTCCCCAGAAAATTGTAGGATCTAATGGCCTACATGCTTAAGAATTCATAATTAAATACAAAGTAATCCAAGAAAGAAAAGGTAACAAGCAATATACAGGATGTATTCCAACAGTGGTACATTCCAGTCACGGGAATCTCTGAGGCGTCTCATACATCCCACTTCATTGCTATGTTAGAAACCATTCCCATGACTTTACTCTTTGAAAACTCTTCCTTTGAAACAGCCATTAAAAAAACCTTCTTGTTCTCTATTTCTTGCCCATAACACTCTAGGCATTGAAGCGCCTGTTAGTTTGTTTTATGTATCTTTGAAATAAACCTGTTTTAAACTTTCACACAATGCACAAATGACTTATCAGGAACTAAAACTGGTTTGATTTTATAAAGGGAAAATAAGTATTTGGCCTGTGTACTGAAACACTCCTGTTTTTCCACGAGAACGAATTAATCTCAACATTACAAATTACATTAGGCACTGCTGGTTGCAGTTTTCAAAAACAATTTGTGAGTACTAGTATTGGCTTTGCTGGTAACTACAGGCACATTATGAGATTGCAGTGCTCTCTAGGGAGGTGCAATTAGCAAAGTCATCAGACCAGAAAAATGCAGCTGCTGTACTAAGGACACCATCTGAAGAAATACCTGAGCTAGAAACATACTTGTGTATGCTGGGGTTACAAAACACACTATGACCTTCTTGGCAGGACCCCTGGCCCTGCAAATCCTAGGGGCTGGCTGAGACAGAGCTGTGTGGGGAGTTCTGTGCCTGCCTGCCACATGAGGCAGCCACTTTGAACCCCAGCGAGCGACTGCTGCTGACCTTGTGCAGCTCTGCTTCGGAGCAGGAGCAAAACCACGTCCTGACAAACAGAGTCTGCATCTCCATCACATTGTGAAGCTGTTCTGATTTGTCTGTAGGTCCAGGCTAGGAAGGAATTGGCTGGTTGCACTACTTGACTTACGGCTAAAGACACCTTTTGGACATCTTGTTCTTGGGCGGTGGTTCTGTGTGAACCACTGGGGAGCCTCTACCCCAGGTGCTCCTTGCCTCAAAGAGTGTTCAGTTTTCTGGTGGGGTCACATTATCGTGTTACAGGGGAGCACTTTAGTCCAAGGGAGTGCACATACAAGACCTGAGCTCTTCCACCAAAGCCTGTCTGCCCCATGCCCCCCTCAGGAGTGAAGCCAAAATTGGGGCTGTGCCCAGTGGGCATCCTTGTCTCCTTGCTGAGCACATGAAAGGCTTTGGCAGAAGGGCAGGAGACAAGCCCACCCTTATTACTCACCACCAGCTGGTGGGGCAGATGCACCTGCAGTTCAGAAGCCTGCTCAAAATCAAGCAGGATTTGATTGTCCAGTTCATTCCTGATTAGCCTTTGCAATGGTAGAACATTTATGGTGGGTTTTTTAAACATTTTCTTTTGGGTTTCATTTTTTGTGAGGAAAGGATGATTTTGGTAAGTAGTTTCACAGGTGGGAATCCTAAGTGAAATTACCATTTGGTCTGAACTACCTTTGAGTATGGGGATGAAGACCTGAGCATTTTCTGGTGACAAAACCAAGGCTGCTGCCTGGCTCTTGTGAGACTTTAAGGCCTGTAGTTCATGGGCCTAGAAACCTGACTGAATTCAGACAGCAGTTGGGAGGAGTCAGTGGGACACCTAGAAAAAAAGGCATTGCCACAACCAACCTGAAGCACCTCTTGGTGGTTCTCTGGACAATCCATGTGCCCATCACATTTCAGCACTGAAATTGTAAATGCTAGAGGCCTCATTCATGGCTGGATTTCCACTTACAGCTGGGACAAAGAAATGGTGATTTTTCATTTGCTGATGTGCTGGGCATCTCAAGGGAAAGGCCAAGCAGCCCTGTCCTGGCTAACAGCTGTGTTCTCCACAAGCTCTCTTGGTTTGTCCTTGTCTCTTGTGGACCTGTGTTTTATGTGCATTCACAGAATTAGGCTGATTTCAATGTTTTAGTGTTTTTTTGGTTTTTTTTTTTTTTTTTTTTTATCTCTCCTTGTTCAGCAGGCAGGGAAGCAAGTAAAAGACAGAGAATGAGATTAAATAACCTACACAATCATGTCTCTTGTGCATATCTCAGAGAATTTGGCAGAACTGACTGAAATACTGGGAAAGTGTTTCCCTATCAGAAATAATAAAAAGCAGATACAATTTCTGATCATCAAGTTTATAAGCAGTAGCTAAAAAATGTTTCCAACAATCTTAAAATATAATAGACTTGAAATACGTTTCTTTAATGTACTACATGCTTCAACAAAGAATAATCTTTTTCTCACTTTTTTGTTTTGCTGTTTCCTAAGCTAAGTCTTAAAAAAAGGAGATCAAGTTTTTGTTTGTTTAGTTGGTTGTTTTTTTAAGATTGAGCTAAATGACTTTCAGAGACTGAATGCTGTTCTGAGATGCACTGCTGGGCCCCCCAGTTTCAGTAGGGTTGCTTCATTTTTCCTGAGAACAATCTGATAAGATCAAGCCCTGTGCTCTCATTTTCTTCCTTGTCATGGAGGAACAGAACCATAACATTAGTCAGCAGTTTCTGAATTTTGACCCACAATGGCAAAGATACCAAAAGACAGGAGAAATAGATGGAGGCAATTACAAACAGTCACTTGATTGATGGTTGACATTGTTAGGGCTTCAGCTGTGTGTCAGGCTGCGGTGCTGCGAGTCCCCATCCCTGGCAGTGGGTGTTGCCATGGGCAACAGTGCACTGAAGCCAATAAAAGGAGAGGAAATGAGGGGAGACTCAGCCTTCGGGGAGGCCGTAGGGTATGCATTATAAATTAAGTTACACTTAGCAGTATGCAGTATCAAAGTTGGAAAGCTGTGTGTACCTGCCAGCAGGACTGTCGGTTCCTAGTAGATGTTTTTCCCATAAAGTACGTGTTGCAGGTTTGTATGGCTTGCTGCTTACTAAACTGCTCTGGCTTTATTCAGAGAAGAAAGAAGTGGTAAAAGAACACAGAAACAGTTCCATTTGGTGTGTGTACTCACTGCTGTGCAGTTTGAATTTCTGCTCTTTCCCTGCTTCCTTCTGCTAGACAGTGATGTGGTTCAGTTGTGCCCTAACAGATTGGTTCACAATGCTACTGAATTTCCAGCTATTGTCCTACACACCATTAAAAGCACAGAGCATTTTTAGTTCGTTGTGTTCCTTTTAAAGAAGGGATCAGCAGATTTGTTGTTTCTGTTTGATGTAGTCAGCTTTTCTAAGGCTCTAACAACTCAGTTTCCTTAGAAATGAGAAAAGCTCTTTTAGCATCTGGTCAGCTGGGCCAGGTTCTGATTTCCATTAAGCTGCTGCCAGTTCAAGATAATTCCACTTAAGTAAATGGAGTTTGGCACAGGTGTAAAACTAAGCTGAATTCAGCTTTAATTTCTGCTGCCAGACAACCCTATATTTAGAATCCCATTTTTCATGAAGTACAAAGGCTTTTTTTTTTGCACTATGAATGGGCACTCATAAGCACTGCAACATGACTCCTCTTGTGCCTGGTCATGCAGCAGAAAAAACACCCTCAAATCACAGATCACAGGTTTGCTGAATTAGTGATCTTGGCACTAATGGAAGGAGACCAACTTTCAGGTAATACTAGAGTCATCACAGAGAGACATTTGGCTTTGTGACCTATCATATTTGATTAGATTTTTAGGGACACCTTTACCACGGGTGTCAGCATGTGAGCCTTGACTAGTGCTGTGCTAGCTGTAGTAATAGCATTTGAAATTGTACTGAAAGAACTGCAAGAGAGGGGTGGTCCAGTGTGATGATATTCTACATCTCCACCATTTCAAAATACTAATTTCTACTGGAAATTATACTAGAAAGGCTTTTCCATGTTCTGCTTTTCAATGTAATATAAACCTGAAGCACAAAGCAACAGATTTCCTTTTTTATTTTAATTCTATTTTCAAAAAAAAACCCCATTAATCTTTTCCTTAGGCAACACTATAATTAAAAAAAAAGAATGTGTTATAAGAGCATTTTTGAAAAGAAAAAAAAACAACCCACTCTAAAATTACCATGCAATATTTTGCCTTTATGCAAACTTCCTCTTGCTGAAAAATTTGCTGCAGTGTTAATATGAATTTCTCAGGGAAGAAAGGACAGCTTGGTGTTTTTAAAGATAATAAAGTTTGTTTTTAAATGTAGCAAAGGTAGGCAATTCTAAAGGCCCTGATCAATCACTAAGAAGCTTTGTTGTAAAAAAATACTTCTTCAGAATACAAAGCAGGCTTTTCAGAACATTCAGGCATAAAAGAGGAGGGAGAGTAAGAGAGGAGCATCACAAAAGCAGGCATAATTGATTCATAACATGTACTGAAGAGATGCAAAACAACAATGTAATTACACACTATTCTGTTTTCTGCAGCTCCTTGCATATGAATTGGCCAGCTTGCATCCCAGTCCTGGCTCTGTATTATTAATTTTATTAAGCTGTGAGTTCTTATATTTCAGTCTGTTGTCAGCTTTACAGATTTTTACAGCAGCAGTTGAAATGTAGCGGAGCTGAATGAACGCTTCTTCTGTTCGGTGTTGCGTGTCGCTCCAGACACCCGGCAATCCCACTGCAGCCTTCCGTTCAGTCCCACTAAGCCTTCCAGGAAAAGCAAACTGTGCTGCCATCAAGATCATATCCCATCAATTAGGCATGTCTGGGAATGCATTTCTTAAAAATGGTGGGTCTAAGCGTATGAAAACCTTTCAGACAGCTCTTGTTGTAAAGTGACACTGATATTTGCAGGCTTAGTTTATGTCTTTGAGAGACGTGGTGAAGCTAGAGGAAAAGGAGGACAAGGATGCTGCCTGAGAAGGAAGTCTTTTCTGGTGCAGCTCCTCCCATTTACCTCTATTTACTGCCACGGAGTCCAGCATAGGCTTCAGTTTCACATTCAGCTTCACTAGACACTGGAAGAAGATTAAAAAGAGGATGAGAGAAAAAATACAGTATATCCACTCCTTTTAAGGACAATCCATGGCATAGCAGGGGGAAAAAAGAGTTTAATCTGCACTACGCCCCTGTTCTCCTCACTCCCATCTGTAAATACCTGTGGAGGTGAATTTATTGTCCTCATTTAGTTCTCTTTAACTATCTGACTTGTTTTACATAAGTCTTTAAGCCACAAAAGTGTAGAAAAAGGCAAAAAAGATGGCAGAGATGCTGCTCAACTACTTTAGCTTTCTTGCAATCCTTAAAGATAGTCCTTTTGAGGGATCCCCAAGTGCCTAAGGCTGCCAGCTGTGGCATCTATGAGCAGGAAGGTCCACTGGCTGGATGACAAGCTGGACAAAGCTGAAATTATCTCCCTAGTGCTCGATTCTTTTTTCCTATAGATGACTAAACCACAACAGTACTGTGCTTTCCCAAGCTGGCAGAGAAAACAATTACTGTGTGCTCAAATTAAAGAAATATAAATGAGTTTTCTTTGAGGTTACACTGAAATCACGTCTTCTCTACATATCCAGTCCAAAAGTCACAGAGGCTAGTAAGAATCTTTAATCTGGTTTCATCTGGCTTTGAATATGTCCCTGAATTATGGAATTCCTGCACACTTTTGCTACAGGTTATTGTACCTTCCCCTTTAATATCACCTGCTTATGTGCGAAGACCACAAGTACTTCACTTGGTTTTGTATCTATATTAAAGAGAGACAGAAATTAACAGCAGCACTGGATGTCAGGAATGGGTTAACCACTTGCCTCCCAAGTGGTCAGGTAATGTGTCCTCTCAGGACAGAGAGTGCTCTTTTGGAGCTTTTCTGGTTAGCAAGCAGTGGCTTTTGCTGACAGCTGGGCAGCATGCTTTCTCCTATAGCATGGAAACTATGTATTTGTCATTGGAAAGAAAGGATTGGTGCCAGATTAAAAACCAAAAAGGACAAAGAAGATAGAAAAAGTTGCTCTTCTAGAAGTGCAGAAAAATATAAGAAAATAAAAAGAAAGGGGGAGCAGGTACCTTTGCAGTTGATTGGTTTTTGCTTTAAATAGCAGGGTTAACAGGAGCTGCTTTAAATGGTCCCCAGAGCCCAGACAACACTAAAGAACTGGAATTTTTTTATAGCTGGCTTGCAAGCCATGGGAGCTTGGCTTGAAGTAAGTCTTGGTAGATTTTTAATTGAGCTATTATATGATAATTAAGGGTTAATGGCCTGATTTTAAGACGTGCTGAAAACTTGCAATTTCAGTTGACTTCGGAAGGAAATATGAATGCTCAGCACTTATGAAAAATTCACATCATGAGGAAGAAGCTGGAACTTGAATCAAATCGACTTCAAAATTATTTCCTTAGAATATGGCCCAGATTGGGCAGATAATTTTGCAGTCTTGGGCCTTGGGTAAGAGGCAGGGTTCACTGCAGCCTCTGCCCCCTACAGCATTGCTTGCTGCTGATGGTCATTCATTTTATAGAATAGATAAGGATTTTCAACTTTCCCATTTCCATGCCTCACAACTCTGCATTTGTATATGTTTATTTCAGACTGTTGTATATTCCTTAAACCTGATTTGGCAGAGTCTAAAACAGAGGGACAGTAATGTATTATAAACAGCTGAGAGTATCTGAAAAGCTCACTGCCATTACCATTAGCACCTGCATTACCACTGCCAGCTCAGTGTCTAGAGAAAGCACATGTGATACTCAGCCCTTGAGAAGAGCAACATATCAGACAGATCCTTTCTGTGCACAACCAGTACCTTCAAAAAGTTTTTGTGAAGCATTTTTCTAATATACACCTTTAATTAAAAAAAAATCAAATCAGTAAATAATAAGAAATACATATAAGCAAGCAGCCTGCTGGTTAAATCACTCTTTAAAAACTGGTATGCTTCAAACCTCTGTAAGCCCAAAGATGTTCTGCACAAAACAGCAGTACAGGCTGTTCCTGTATGTGTGTATATATATATATATATATATATATATATGTATAAGTATACACATATATACCATATTTTCTCTCTCTCTCTCCATATATAGTATATATACTATATACACTATATATATGCACTATAGCCAGGAACCTATAGCAGCTACAGACAGCATAGAGAAGATGGAGCTCACTGGGACTGCAGACTCTGTGTCAGTGTGGCTGTGCAGCTCTCGACTGTCTGTGTCCTCTCTGTAACCTTGGTTTTTTGCCAAGGCTGACCACAAGACTGTGATGTTTTCCAGCCTAGTTCCAGGGAGCAATTGCAGAGGTCTGGGCATGACCTCGTGCTGTGCCTGTCCCTCCAGGCACTGGCATCTGCTATGGCTTGTGGCAGGAGACAGCCCTGTCACGGACTGTGCCAGGATGGCTGCGAGTGCTCGAGGTGCTCACAGCAATTAGCTTTGCATTGACTGCAGCAGGGATCAGGAGCCCAAGTAGGCTGGGAATAGATTCAGGAAGCACTCCCACAGTTCTGTGGTAATCACTGTTATCCTATGAGCTGTAAACATATTTTAAATCTTTAAGTAAATACACATATATTTCTTCCAAATATAGATCTAAGCAGACATTAGAGTCTAATAACCCAGGTGTAACAGAGGGTACCAGGTAAATAACAAGAATGGTTAACTACTAACATTAACTTTGATGAAACAGACTAAAAGGAGTATTTAAGAAAGAATAAACCATGTCTTTGATATTAATTTTTACCATGGCACCAGCAATTAATTCAATGGAATACGTACAAAATATATAGTGTAATTCTAAGAAACTTTATTTTGTTACACATTAATTTAGGTTAGTGATACTTGACAGTGCAGATTTTGTACTTGGTCTATAAAATGTCTTTATTCAGACATTGATTTGATGTTTGAACCACTGCACCTGTATTTAGTATCCTTTCACTTTGGGATTTTTTCATTCTGATCTAGTCTTTTAATTAAAATGACTACTATAATTCCTATGGAAATTAGCTTTTATTTTATTTTTTCCAGCCATCAAAGCATTTCAGTAGGGCTTCTCTGATACAAAGTGCACAAATTGGATTTTATTTCTTCTTGAGATGTAATTAAAAACTCATTTGATTACTATATATCTGGCCCTGTTTTAATTATTAAACTCCAGTAATCAATTTGCTTTTATGAAGCTTCTGGGAAATTATCTCAAAAGCAACACATTTCTCTCCCTTCTGGCAGGGTCTGGACCATTTACTGAATTACATTCATTGCACCTGTTCCTGATCCGGATTAAACCACCAATTTATTCCCAAAGCTCTTTAAGTTTATTTGGCTGCAGCCTTGTCAGGGTTTTCCACCTCCTGGCTGCAGTTTTTGCTTTCTGTTTTACTGAATGAGAATCCCTTGATGTACTGCTCCTCCATGCTACTGTTTTTGATGCATGCCTCTTACAAACAGCTTTGCTCATGATCTGTCTAATTTGGTATCTAGGTTCTTAATGCCTTATTTATTACTTGCCTTCCTAGGAAAAGGCTGGGTCTTCACCAGCTGTCTGACATGGGATACCACCACCTAGCCTCAGTGCAGGAACACCCTGTTCTATCCCTGCCTGGTGCCATGGGCAGGCTGGGAGCTGGCCGCAGCTGGGCTGGGGAGAGGGAGCCCTGCCTGGGGGAGTTCCTGCCTCCCCTGGGACCTCACTGCCCACTTGCAGTCCTTCCCTGCACTGCAGCTGCCTTGTGCACAGCAACGGGTACAGGATTGGTGACCTTTCCCATTCCAGCCCCTTTACTGTAAAAGCTGTTCTTAGCTGCAGAGTGATAAAGTGTGGGGGAGGCTCTGCCTGCTCCAGCATTAGGAAAAGCCAGAGGGGTTTGCAGTTCTCTTCTGCATCCATGTATTACCTTAGATGTGTGACTAAGCTGTTTGTCAGAAAGTTACTGTATAGCAGTGTCTTTTTCTTAGCACCTTCAATTATTTAGATGTCTTTTGGGACTGTGTACTACTCTGCCCACAGCATTCTTTCCCAAAGTATAGCTCTGCTTATCTATAAACTCCTCAGCACAAGAAAATGTTAACGGCACTTCAGCACTACATTGTGCACACCTGGGAGAGGGGCAGGGCTGCCGGAAGGAAGAGCACAAATGGGAAAGAGCATAAGATACTCAGAGGAAGTTATTTAAGGGAGAAGGTAAGGAGGGCCGAGTGGCTTGGTTTTTCTTCTCTTTCTTTCCTTGTGTATAGAGATGTATATTTTGGTAGATAAAGCATATAGAATGTAGAAACAGTAGTAGTAGAAACAAGCCCCTTTCAGAGAGAGGGTGAGGGGGAGCAGTGGAGGCATTTGTTTCTTCCTCTGGGTGCCAACTTTCTGGGTTGAAGTGGGGTGTGGGGGGAAGAAGACTTCATCTGCTACATTACCTTCATCTCTGGGCAAGGATATTAGTGAAACTGCCTAGATGCAGCACAGCTGTGGTCAGAGGCTAAACTTATTGCTAAAGCAAATACCAAATTTTCTTGTATTATAAGACTAGTACCAAATCTTTTTAAAGAGGGGCACAATATGTCCTAACTTACAAACACTGCATGACTTTTCTTTTTGCCCCCTCCTTGCCAGAGATTCTCATCCAAATATTGACCAGTTCTGACCTTGCTTAACTTACGAGCTTTGACAAGATTACAGCTTATGAAAGTATGGTTGCGGGGCTAATATTTGTAAAGTGAGTTTATGGAATGAGACCATATAAATTCATTTTTATGACTGAGCACATATAAAAAAGTTATAGGTCTCAGTGTTCACTCTACTTTGGAACCCAGTGGTTTCTAATGAATCACTTTTATTATGTAGGCAGTTTCTTAGTTGGAAGGGAGGACCAGTGACCGAGAAGCCATGGGGATAAATTCAGACTCAGTGTAAGCATATGAAGCATTGTTGAAGTCAAGAGAGTCATGACCAGTTACAGCAAGGCTGAATTGGACTCCTGAGTTTTGCTGAAGTGGCTTTCACATGAGAATACATAGGCCAAAG